GAAAGAGGGGCAATTCGCATTATGGAATATAAGCAGAAATGAGACAGTCTCTTGTCATGAAAGTACGAATTTATTCATCAGTCTATCCTGTTTTGGTAACAAGGCTCAATAAACGGCAAATTTAAGTATGCCACAGTAGTGGTAGAAATCACCCAACTTTGTGTAAACAAACACTTATCTCCTGCCTCTTTAATATAGAAAACTACTATACCACAATCGCATGGTTGGATCTAATTCCATATATTGTGTGGAACAACAACCACCAAGAACTCCAGAATCAGCGTTTCAAAGGATTTCGGAATGATGCGTAAGTATAAGTAATTCATTTAAATCATGACCCGACCATCAAAATCACAATAAGGTGTTTGGATCACATTTGAGCTATGCCAAAGCATCGCGAACAAAGGATCGTTATCAACACATTCCTTTTCTAGCCTATTTTCTTAAAGCTAGATTGTGCAAAATTAGTCATAAGCTCCTTAAATGTTAGAAGGTTGTTGAGCATTCAAGTACACTTTGAGATGAACAAAATTATTGAAATACGCTTAGGATATACCGTTTAACTTTAAGGCCTCAAAAAAAGGTCTTTTGCACTTTTGGCCGCTTTGCACACCACAGAGATTGTCGTAAACAATTGGATTCTTTTGAACTGCGCACAATCGTAATGTACACCCCATGTGTGCGACCTAGACTTCCGATCCTTCACCAGATTTTGACTCCTGGTAGCTGGATTTATGTTAAAAGTGCAACTCTCTGCTAATTCACTCCCGTTAAGGTTAATAGAAAGGATTATATCGACTTTTGAAGTGGATGAAAATCTCCTGTTACTATCAGAGAAAAGCGTTGAAAAATGTTGACGAAAGTTGGCCGTAACCTCAAATAAACCACCAAAAAATTTACCCAAGATTTTGAAGTGAATCCTGGCAAAATGCAATTAGACTACATTTCAGGCCACACAAAATATCGCTGTGAATAAAACCCCTAAGCATTTTGAGTCTATCAATACCTATGCACTTTTGACATTCCGTACTGAAGAAGTTGAAGAGTAATAACAATTCATTGTACGAGGCTAGAGTCTGTCCATCTCCCACACACAGCAGCAGTAACTTGTAGGGTTTCTAAACAATTGCAGCTTTACGTACTTACGCGGATGCAAACTCTAGACACCAGTGTGTTTCATTTTCATTTAATTTAAGCGCTAAATTTTTCTCATTGTACACAATTTAGTTGAAAAAAAAGCGCTTTTAATTTTGACTTCGAAAAATCGGAAGAAAAGGGATCATAGTGGGTAACTTTTTGAAAAAAATGACAGCGAAGAATCGTTGCTAATACTAATGAGTCCAAGTAAGGTCTGGGCTCAGTTGTCTCTTACAGAAGACCGACTTTGGATCATAGGATATATATATGCGATTATTAGATTTGGATAGGATAGAAAGTAAAAATTAACCAAAGTAAAAACACTAAGTAAATTTATCCGTTTACAGTTTGATACTCATTCGTGAACGTACTAAAACCCGTTGGCACACACCTTGGGACTAATTTCTGTCATCTAATGTGACAATGACAATCATTTCAAAGGGCTTATCAATCCTGTCACACTCGTAAACAAACCGCAAAAGATTTTATTCGACTATTTACCGCGAGGCCAAAAACTCGATATGGAAACTTTTTACTCTTTTTTTACTCGCTAAAAACAACACCATGTGAGTATTTACAACTATGCACATGAGGCCGTCAATTCTCATTAGATAACTGAAGTTGTTTTTGAAGCCGAGCAGAAAATTCCTACATTCCAAACCTTAACACTGGCTGTAAGGAAGATTTCCATCGTAGTGACATTACGCGAGTGCATTTAAACGAGAGCGCACTTACGAATGGACCTTGTTGGTTGACAACATTCAAAATAACTTGGTACCATGAGGCCTACCATGTCCTTTAAATCCCTATTCATATATGGATAAAGTGTCACCGTGCTAATAATATCATTGATATTATGCTTATTGTAATGAGAGCACCTAAGAGATCTCTTGTAATTCGATTAGCTTCATTTTGTCTTGAAGTGAGGTAAATGTAGTAACAACAAAATCATTCAGTCACATGTTCGGAAGCATATTTTTAAATGACTGGTCACTGTGTAAGTACCCCCGCCCCTAAGCAGAGGTGAGACGATCTCGAGAGACTTATCACCCATAGCTTGATGCGAGAGACTAAAATTGCATGCCAATGTTACTAGCAAGCCAATTAGGTGATGAGTAATTACCACACATTGGATTGGTATTTTCACATAACTCCTTCTGGAGCTGAGAAGCACTGGAGGTGGTATGAGCATTTTCATCTACAAACTGCAGCAGTCGATACTGACTTCTAGGGCGACTGTGCGCGTACATTGGCTACATCGTAATATCGCGCAGCTAGTTACATTAAAATCGCACTATTGCAGCAGAGAACTGCAATAGTTAAAAAAGGTGACGCCTTGACTTTATTACCTGTAGTCGCTAATTCGCGTGCGTCTAAATTCATTCTTTCACCATGAGCTATAACGATATCACTTCGGTGAAACTGTTAATGCATGACAGTTCGAAAATGAGGTTAGCATCGATGGTTAATGCAAGGAAAAAAACAGTGGCGCGCATATCTAAGTAGGCTAGGACACGGAGCGATTCAAGCAATGCTTGTGTGAAATAAATTGGAGTTGGCAAGTTAAAGAACTACCTAATCAATCAATCCCCAAAATTAGCCAGAAGTAGGCCGAGAAGAGAGAAATCACAAAATTTCCGGTTTGTTAACCACTTTATCGAAAATGATGCTACGTTTTCTTTCAAGTTAAAATAATTAAAATTCACTATGATTTCCAAAGCCACAGTTGGGTGAAGGTGTTAATATAGTCACATAGGTAGGTTGAAAAGTTATTGAAGTTGGTGATTATAGGCATAACAAACGAAGACAATAGGTTATGACCACTGAATAAACCAAGACAGTGCAATCTGTAGTCATCAAAAGTAACGCGTTCGTCTAAACTCTTGCAATAAGTAAAGTGTTTGGCAAGCCTTATTTCTGCTAAGAAGCATAGGGTTGGGCATTAAATTATGGTTACGCTATTTAGGCAGATTTCATGCGATAATGAGGTGATTAAAAACAACAAGTATGCACGAGAGGTGGTTGCATTTAAGCACGCAACAATTAGCCATGTATTTTTTACATGTAGGCAATTATGTATGGGCGATCACTACATTATCATGCATCAAAGGTAGCAGCTTTCACTTTATAAATTCGCTTCAAACAGATACTAAATCTACTCTGAATCCTCAACATTTACTCTTAGCCTCGTGGATGGGCTTAGAGTATGAACATAGATTGCAGTGCTATTGAGTGGGGTCATCGTGAAAGAAGAAAATACCAGAGCACGGACGGGATACGTAAGTTGATAATTGAATCTCAAAGAATTTTTTGGTGCAAACGAATACAATTTGTGCGCAATTACTTCAGTGAAGTTTAGAGGCTGCCTATCCCACCCACTGTGTAGCAGTGAGATGGTGGATAGAGGAAATTCCCTAGATCAAATAAGAGAAGCCAAAGGACTCCTGTAACGTGACCGTAAATATAACTTTAAGGCAAATAATAAATTAAGATTCAAAAGCATTGGATGAGCAATGTCAGTAGAAACTTAATTATTGCCAAGCAGGTGCTGTTTTCATTAATACTTCGGAGCTCAAACTCTGCACTTCCACTCCTTACTCTCAAGAGAGGTGTTAAAGTTCAAATTTTGCAAGTCACAGAGACAACGCACTAATTCCCAGCCAGGGAGAGAGAGCGAGTTTGAAGAATGCAGATGCGTTGGCTTTTGTAGCATCAAAGCATGTTTTTGAACTTTAGCAAAGGTATGGACTACTAGCGCACACTTTCTCGGCTGGAAGTACGCTTTTAAAAGAAGGCTCCAAATTTTCAGCACTTTGGACGGAACAATGAGTGCAAGATGCATACGCTTCTGTGCAGCACCCAAGACTAAAGTGTTTGGTGCCTCACTCCAAGTAGCAAATAGAATTCCACACATCGTGGCAGGAGGTGAGGTCACCTAAGATATCAAGAGCTAAATAACCAAAAATCCAGTGATAAAAGTTAGTAGATCTTTGACACTATAACATAGTTAAATGGAATATGAGAGATTCCTGCTGAATTACAGACTACAGCCCATAGCCACGGATCAAAAGCAGTAGCGCGCCCTTAATACTATTGCAAATCTAGCTATTCGAATCCCTTGGCTAGCACCCACATCTAGCATTTGTATTTCACTAAGATTTTTGGAAGTCAAAAACATTAACAAAGTCCCCATAACGCCAATCACGACGTACTATCAACAGTCTGGACTCAAGTACCCAAGTTATGGGAAATCCCTTATCTATGGCGTCATCACTCTAATCATTAGGTGAAGGCATCATCGAGTTCGAAAAAGACTAGATTACGCATCATCAATCACCAACAGGAATGTCAAGTTGCTACTAAGAAATATGGAAATACACCAAAAGCTGAGGAAAGAGCTATTAGGGTAACTTTACCAACAGCGACATGGATCCATCAATTTGCCGTCAAAACTAGGTATTGAAACCATTTTACTTCTTCTACTAAAATGACGAAAGTATGATGATTCAGCGTAAAATAGACTTAGAGACATCACTCCTACAAGTCAGCGAATTCAAACCACCCATGTTTTGAATCCGTCAAGTCGAAGAAGAAGTAGGGAGATATGAACATATATTTAAAAAGGGCACGAAAATAAAGTACCCAGGAAGAAAGTCGTACGATACCACAGACACCTAGAAACGAACTGCCAGACTTTGACGCCAAAATGATGTATTTGAACAAAAATATATGCTGTGGAAAAATATAGTGAAGTGGGTAAAAAACGAATAAAAAAGTGAATAGGACGTAGCACACGACTAGATAGGCACGCTTAGTAGTTCAGCACTGAATAAGCAGTTACATAGTCAGCGTCGAAAAAACTTTTAAATCTTCTTCGAGAACCGAAGTAAGGAAGTCTGTTTGTATCGATCACGAAGCACTCGTCCACTCCGAAGATTTGGACGACAGGCAAGGGTAGATCGGACTTTTCGATTTTTCGGTGGCTTAGAGGCTCGGTGAACAAGGCGATCCTGTTGAGCCACCTCAAGAGCCAACATTTCGTCAGCATTGATCTAAAAAAGTAGTCAAACAATGACTTGGAGAGCATGCGCACCTGTTCTACAAAAGATTCAGAGCAGGAGAGTGACTTTTCCCTCGTTCTACGAAATTTGAGTACTAATGAGCCAGAGGCTTGATTTGAAGCACCGAGAAAACCAACCTCGGAATGTGACCCGGAGGGCATCGGCTCGTTTAGGGAGGAACGGCTTCCTTTTGAGGAATTAGGAAATTCTGAACGGTTGGGCGGGCTTGAGACCTTAAAGGGACCTAAGAAATCGATGAAATCAAGACAGTCAACCTACAATAATTCTCAGCATCCAAGTCATTCTCAGTACATTCGGTCTAAATAGGCACATATCACAAATACGAGTCACGTACCTGAGGATGAGAATCCACCGAATCATTTCCGACACTAGTTTCCAGAAGTATATGCCTAGAAAGGGCGAGACTGGCTTCTTCTCGAAAACCCTCTTCCGCAACACTACTTTTATTAATCCTAGAAATCGCCTCATCGAATTCTGACTTAATGGCACCCGGGGAAGCCAATCGTAAACGCACCTGACCTGAATCTAGAAGAAGATAGGCTTGAGACCAAAAAAGCACCTGTAACCTCACGAAGAACACTAGCTTCGGAGTCGCAGAGGGAAACATTCAAGCCTTCAGCTCTATCAGAATAGTAACGTGGAAATAACCGCCCAATTTCGGTATCACGTGCTTTATCAATGCATAGGGATACATCTTTTAATCGACGTTTCCATACAGAGAGTCGGTGACGACAGATTGGACATTCAAGAGTAGAGATATCCAGCGATCTTTCAAGACATTCCTGACAGAGAATATGGTTACAGGGAAGTTTCACAGGCTTGAAATAAACGTTGAGACATATGGGACATGTGAGATCCATTTTGCCAACTTAGCAAAAAGGCTAGCTGGTACTCAAGTGCAATACCATTGGCCAGTAAAGTGGAAGGTCACAATATTTTTGGCGACTAGCGATAACATGCTGAAATAAATAGTTTAACTCTGCTTAAAGTAATCCACTATTTGCGATAAGGCAAGTGTTCGATTTATATTTAATACTTAACAATGGCAATGGTAACAGCCACGTGATCGCCCAAGGTACAAGAAGAAAAAGTCGACGTAAACTATTTCGTATTTATTGGTTTATTGGCTAGGACTTAAGTAAGACAATGACATAAAGGTATATATTGGCCTAAATATACTTTATAGGTGGCAGATCACGCAAATGACCAGACTCCATCGGCTCCTGAGAAGGAAGCAAACCTTGACAGTTTGTACGCTTTCACCATACCTCTCAAATAAATATTTCCACCCAATCTTTGGCAATAAAAACAACAAGCGTATAAATCCCCTACAGTGCCTCTACGCCGTGTTCTTACGCTTGTGATTTCTACATTTGCTTTATCCCAGGTAGTAAATTATGATAATCCGAGGAAATATTGCAATATTTGTAACTTATTTTAGGTGTAGAAGAAAGTATTTTAGGCTCTATTGATAAACTATGGCAACGAAGCAGTTCTTTGGGGCTTCTTTACACACGATAGCCGTTGTGCAGCTTCCTGAGACTCCCTGAAGACGAAAGAAAACACAATACTCGAGCAGAATATATATTCAGCGCCGAGAAGTTGTCTGGGCTATTGGCATGGCCCGAAGGCCAGCCCACCCAGTGAGGTACAAGAAGGCAAATTCAAAAGCCCAGAAGTGGCGCCTTACCAACACCGAGGGATAAACTGCCATCGTATTACATAGCCTCCCTTCTCTTTTGAGCGTTGTCTTCGGCGCTCCCGCAGGTCAACCTCCCGCGTCAGCCATTACAACGTAGTCGGTGCTTGCAACTGAGGAGATAATTGACCTCAACTTCACTGATCCCTCTTGGCAGTTTAACTGGACCTGGAGTTTTGTCTGGTTTAGGAACTTGATTTTAGGACGGGGAATTGTGCTGGCCATCATGCGTGTCCATAGATGGATGTAGGAACACCGGCCTAAAAGTAGATTTGTGTAAGGAAGGACGGGATTTAAAACAGGTCCATGGGGGATGGTAGGGAAATTCCGTAAAGAAACTTTTAGATGGTTTACGGCTAGTGTTGTTTCAGTTGTTAATAGCTTTTCTGCAGAATACGGGCCTGGGATAGATGCCAAAGGTAGACGCAACATCAACCCTTCTATTAGGGGTCATCACCATTCCTCCACCCGTAGCATATGTACTTCTTCAGCTCCACTAAGGTTTACCACGCAGAAGTGGAAAATCAGGATACATGTCCTTTAAGATCGGGTTTGCTTTCCTTTGCCGCCAATGTAGCGTCCTGGGACTTCCCTGAAGACGAAAGAAGACACATTATTCAGGCAGAATACATATATTCAGCATAGAGAAGGTGTTCGGGCTGCTAGCATGGCTCGAAGGCCAGCCCCACAAAAAGGCAAATTCAATGTACAAAAGTGGCGCCTCACCCATACCGGGAAATAAACCACCATTGTACTACAGTTGCTTCTGCAACGTTCTGTTTTGCACAAGTAGTCAAGCTCAATAATTTGAATGGGGTTATCAGAACTAGCGGTAAAATGCAACCTTAGAATAAGACATACCTCGAGTGACGAAAGATAGGACCTGGCTTGGATTAGACAGTGCTCGTTCTGGTTATTTGATTGTTGATAAAGGCTTTTTAGTTCCCCACAGTCATCATTTTGATATCTATGGGATATTTTTGCGTTTATTACTTGTCAGCCCATTTTAATATTGCTACTGAATTTTTCGAGGCCGGTATACTTCGTCTTATGCGTAAGAATACCATAGAGACCAAATTAGATGCTGTAGGAAGCTAAAAATTTTCAGAAAGCCTGTACTGCGGGTGTCAACCCTAAAGACCGTCGTGCACAGAAGGTTGGCACTACGCAGAGACCTATGAAGACTTGATAAAGGATCCATAGGGAGGAGGTCGAAAACTGGTTTACGTCTTTGACTTCATTTTAGCATGATGATAGGTAATGGTCGCGAAATAGAAGGGAATAAACCGAAGTAACATTTACCATAAAAATGAATAATTAATCTTCCTATTCCATATTTAAACAAGATTAATTACAAATGAGTCTAGAAATGACCATAAAGAGACGTGAGTGTTTACCGGCTATTGAATCGTGAATCCATCTAGCGACACGCAATTATGCAGACTTTTCTGTAATTAGTGTTTTGTGCATAAAATATGTAAGCAAGTACACTAGCTCACTCTCAACAGTACAAAACCAGTAATTTGCGCTGTTGTCGTCGAAGTAAACTGTTCGCTTGTCTTGTTGGGAAATCACTGGATGACAATCGCTACGACCCTGCTGCTACTTTTAAAATACACTTTCGTGTCGTCGTGGAGGAATGATCACGGAAAACGGAGGGTTAACAGCAGTGCAGGCGATCAGTATTTGTCTTATTTGGAAGAATTTTTTACGGGCCTTCCATTTTGTTTATGCCTGTAATCTCTACTTCACATTGATAAACCCCTCTTCAGGATAGTGCCTTTTCCCGTCGTCGAGGATGAACTGAAGCAGCACGATAATATAAACTCCTCACCTATCACTCTGGTGTTAGTACTAGTTCACAAATGATTAATTTATTCAAAATGACCAGTAGAAAATTTCCTGCTTTGTTTGTGCTAAGCGTTCGACACGAACAAGCAGTATATAGGGTTGGATTTCAAGAGAAATACTTAATAACTATGGCAAATAGTCAGGGTCCTTGCAAATTTACAAAAACTTTCCGGTTCAAGTTTCCAGAATGTCCTATTCTCGAATTAATTTTAGCGAACATCCCGGTGACCGCCTTTCCCCTCCTGATTGGCTGAGATCGCGTTAGCAGTACCTTAAGTGTGCTGGCAGCCACTCCAAAGCCCAAGGTCGATCAATCACTATAACTACGTGTAACTAGACCGACCAAATGAGTGCAATGAGGTCGTCTCGCCAGTGGGCCGTCAGGCGCCTACGCACACATCGTGTGTGTTGGCTCACATGCCAGCTAGTAAAGGCATCTAACACGAGGCTTTGACCTATTGATAATGTGGCTGGGGCTCTGATGGGATCAGGGCTACCCGTGCACACAGAAACTCTTATGAAAATTGGCAACGCCAGGTTATAACAGCCTAAAAAAGTTAACAACACGCCTTATTTTGTATCAGGCTTGTTTATTTTGGTCTCCAGGGCACTGAGACATGTTCGTTGGATTCACAGGCAGACTAATTTGTACCTGTTTACTAAATGCTGGGTTGGACTAAAAATGTAGAGTTCAAAAGAGCAATGCACTGTTTGGAAAGGTAACCAGGCTCCGAAACGCTTTCTGGCTCAACGCCTTGTCTTGTGAGGTGGTGCTATTACCCAGAGCCTTCCTCGAGGTAGTATTAGTCAGGAGTGGGTGATGCTGGAGCACACTATGGTCAGGAGGCTCTAAGCCTGATTGGATACTCATCACGTTGGTGTCTGTAGACACTGAAGAGGCCACGTAGTTAGGAACGGTCAGTGCCAAATCCATACAGCGATATCAAAAAACGGTACGCCTGCACAACGTTACTTTTTACTTGTCTTTGTCAGTAGAAATGATGTTTCAACTGGCCCTAACGAAATACATAACGGTTTCATGGCACTACTCTACATTGAACTGTTAAAAAAGCCAAAATCTGTAGGTAAAATAATTAGGTAATTTACGATGTATATTTTACCTGATAATCATGAATTAGGAGCAGAAAAATAAGTAGACTCACCTAAGTGACTCAAAGGTCTAACCTTGTTAAAACCATGAAAATATAAAAATGTAGTGTGGAGTCCCAAGACTTCTCTGAAGACGAAGGAAGACATTACACTCGAGCAGAATATATATATTCGACATACAGTAGAACTGAGAGACTGTCGGCATGGCCCGCAGGCTATGCCTCCCAGTGGAAATACAATGGCTGCGTCCTTCAGTGCCCGCGTAACCAAAGCGAAGAGTTAAACCAACATTCAAGGCATTACAGTATAATTATGAAAAAGAGACCCGTTCAAGGACCAAATCACACAAGGGCTGACAATACACTGCATTATTCCATGAGCAAAACATCGACAACATAAATTATCAAAAGATATAAGTATCGCGCATTATTTGGAACGTTTCATAACAACATTTAAGAGGTATAGATTTTGTGCTACAATTTCATGAAAACCCCTATGTTATTTCATGGTAACCTCTAGGTATTTTATCCCAGGACATGAAAGCGGAAGCTTAGATATTAACAAGAGGATAGAAATAATTGAACTTAAACAGTACAATGCTGATATAAAAAAGAGCTATTTGGTATAACAGAAGAACATTTTAAGCTGAACCTTTGCTTAATGACCAGGAAGAGGAAGAAGTATGTGATGTGATTGTAATAACAGAGAAGGAGATAATGAAATAACGGGGACATTTAGCGGCATCATAGTTTTCCTTTTTTGAAGCTTGAACTTCCAGAAAACAGGATTATGCAGGCTGGTGTCGAAATAATTATGTTGACAGGTTTTAGATCCTTATACGCAAAGTGAATTTATTAAAATTCCAAGTTAATTGAAATGTTTCAATTTAAAAGCCTTGTAGAAATTTAAGAAATGAAAGAATAGGCCAGTATTGAGAAGCGATCAATTACATGGAGCCATTAATATGTGGTAAAATTAATGTAATCGAAAAACCATGGACATCACTGAAGACATGCAGACAATTTGAAGTGTGCCATCTATATGCAATATATGTTTGTTTAAATATAACTTTTAGGCGGGGGACGATGGGTCGGATGTCATCAACATCCAGGGGGGAAAGGTACCCCAAACACGGTTAAATCGTGACGCCTGTACCTCATCATTCATCGCTACCCATTAAAGCAGTCCCTCGTCCTACTC